CATTATTACTAAGTAGTTCATGGAAAATTTAACAGTACCGTCACATCTTCCTTTCCCTTACATATTGTTCAACGCTTTCACAAATATTCGCACATTGTACAACTGTCTTACTTCAGACATCCTTTACCTCGATAGCAGCTGATCAACCCAGCAATGCTATATCAAAGTCGTCGCCCTTTTAAAAAAAAGAACAGTCTTCTATGTATCAGTGTCTTTATAATTGATGTTCCGACTAAGTGCCCATATGGTGTCCTGACTTAGTGCCCATACAAGACACATAGTACAAATTGCCCATGTCTAACTCGCATGGTACAATGACATCGTTGACGACTACCATGACATCTTCTTCAGGTCATTGGTGGAAAATCTACTAAACACAACCTCGCACCAAGAATCTTTTACCATTTCTCGGCGTGATTCTCATCGCTTTCATCCAGCTGCACCTAAGAATGACATCGCATACATGTAATATTGGTATGAGCATGAGCATAGTTCTCATTTGCTTCCTACCCTGTCTACATTAAGTATACTAACTGAATAGCACTTCCAACACTATCCACTAAAATTACCATAGAAAACGAATGTCGTGTCTTACCATAAAAAATCCCACTTCATTTTTCATGTATATGTTGCTAACCATACATTTACTTACATGTCCTGTCCTTGTCGTCATCAGCAGATACTTTTTGAAGGCGCTTGATATCCATTGGCCACAATGCAACACATTCATGTCGAACCAATGACCCGTGCATGCTTTGCCTTCTTTCCGCACATCGTGTCAACAACTTCTACCCTCCAACGCCAACCAACGCCTTCTTCTCTTACAATTTTTTTTTTACATTCCTCTACCAACTTCCCGGTGACCCCTGATCCTTTGTTACCAGACCTTTTTATCATGCCAAACCTGTCATCTTCTTCTCCTACCTTGTTAGTGTCATCAGAAGATGTTGTTCACTCACCTACACTGCTTACAAATCTACCATTCCACAACCATTGCCACATTTCTCCACAACCTTCCACCGTGACAATCTGCGATTCGTCCTACATGCCATCAGAGAATGCCCTCGACACTTCACCACTGTCTCTCATCATGAACGTAATTCCATCACACAATGATGACACTGCCATCTCAACTCCACTTTGTCCTTATGTGGCGTTGCACAATCACGACTGCTTGTCACAAACCCTTATTGCTGACTACTCTAATCTTCTCATGTCTGCAATTCCTTCTGTGGTTGTCCTCGACTGCCTCACATACACCCACGACATGGCAGCCAAAGACTATCAATA